ATGTCCGATATGTCCAAGATATCAATTATATCAAATATGTCCAGTATATCAAATATATCAAATATATCAAATATATCTGACATTTAGATCTACAATATGCTGCGTCACGTTCATCAATCCAATCCTGTTACATTACAAAAAAAGAAATTATAAACTCACATGTGATATTCTAATGTGATCATATTTTTCATATTAATTGTTGTAATGCATCTTCAGTCCATAAAGAATAATGTTCAAAGTGTCAAAGTAATATTATCAAACAGCTTAAACAACTCAGTTGGAAAAATATAAGTAGGGAAGAAAGATTGTCAGCTTTTATACATGAGGTGTCAACTGAAATGATGGAAATTGATAGCAATTCATCAGAAGTAATCCTTCAGGATCAACCCTCAACAATTTTACAAAAATTATCTTGAAGAGTTAACAAGGCTGATTCTAATGCCATCTATTGCTATTACAAATTTGGCTTAGTACTAACTCTTCATCTAAAGCTCCGCATAAGCCGGCTTGGCTTAGATTGCTACCGGTTTGAGCCGAGCCACTTTTTTTTAGTTTGGCTTGGCTCGGATCGTGGAGATCAATTGACAAGCCAAGCTAAGCCAAACTGGCTTGCAAGCCGGCTTGTTCGGCTTGCATTTATATTTAGAAACGAAAAACTATCGAGAGAAACATTTCTTATCAAGAGATGCGTTTTCAGAATGATTTCCTTTGAGAAGAACGTTTCTGGAGCGTTTTCTATTAAGGAATTCGCTTTCTGAGCATTTTCTTTAAAAGAATTCGCTTCTGGAGCGATTTTCTTAAAGGATTTCGTTTCTGGAGCGATTTCCTTGAAGGATTCACTTCCGAAGCATTTTCCATAAAGGATTTCGCTTCTGGAGCATTTTCCATAAAGGATTTTACTTCCGGAGAGATTTCCTTGAAGGATTTCGCTTTTGGAGCATTTTCCTTAAAGGATTTCACTTCCAGAGCGTTTTCCTTGAAGGATTTTGCTTCTGGAGCATTTTTCTTGAAGGATTTTACTTCCAGAGCGTTTTCCTTAAAGGATTTCGCTTCTGGAGCATTTTTCTTGAAGGATTTTGCTTCCAAAGCGATTTTCTTGATGGGTTTTGCTTCCGGAGTGATTTTCTTGAAGGATTTCGCTTCTGGAGCATTTTCCTTGAAGGATTTCGCTTCCGGAGCGATTTTCTTGAAGGATTTCACTTTCAGAGCATTTTCCTTGATGGGTTTCGCTTCTGGAGCGATTTTCTTGAAGGATTTCACTTCTGGAATGATTTCTTTGAAAGAATTCGCTTCTGGAGCGTTTTCTTTAAAAGAATTCACTTCTGGAGCAAAGTCCTTTACGGAAACGCTCCAGAAGCGAATTCTTTTAAAGAAATCGCTCCAGAAGCGAAATCCTTCAAGAAAATCGCTCCAGAAGCGAAATCTTTTAAGAAAAACGCTACAGAAGCGAATTCTTCTAAAGAAAACGCTTCAGAAGCGAATTCGTTTAAAGAAAACACTCCAGAAGCGAATTCTATTAAAAAAAATACTCCAGAAGCAAATTCATTCAAGGAAATCGCTTCAGAAGCGAATTCTTTTAAAGAAAACGCTTCAGATGTGTTTTTCTTCAAAGAAAAACGTCACCAGGTTTGTTTTTCTTCAAAGAAAATGCCACCAGATTCATTTTCTTTAAAGAAAACGTTACTGGGACTGTTTTTCTTTAAGTAAACGCTATTGGAGCAGCTTTCTTCGAAGAAAAACCGCCTTTAGATTTATTTTTTTCAAAAAAGAAAATACAAGCCAACGAGCCGAGCTGCGATACGAGCCAAGCCACAGTACAAGCCGGCTTGTCTGACTCGCGGCTCATTTTATGGTGGCTCAAGCCGAGCCTAAATGAGCTGACTTGTTTGGCTTGCAAGCGGCTCAGCTTATGCGAAGCTTTAGATAGAATACTTAATTAGATTACGTGATTATTCATCAGATTCACATACAAGTGAATTTTTAACAAATGAAATTTCAAGTATTATTGAACAGCTTAGTATTGATAAATTTGCTGCAGTTGTTACTGACAATACTTTTAATTGTCAAATTGCAAGACAAAATATACAACAAATATATCTGCATATATAGGATGTACGTTATGCAGCTCATGTAATTAACTTAATTGCATCTGAATTAGTTAAACTTGAGCCTATTAAAAAATTATTTTTGAATGTGATAAAATCAATTGATATTTTGATACATCACATGCTAATAGTACTCTTTTAAAACAAGAATTTACTAATATGAAAATTAAAGAAGGAGGATTACAAACTTGGGTAAAAACACGTTAGGGGTCTTTATTTATGACAATAGATGCTTTATTAGGAGCTTGATCAGTATTTAATTGAGTAAGTAAAAAACTTAAAATTAATTAATAAAACAAAGTGAATTTATTTAAATTTATAATTTTTTATTAGATTTTAAATGAACATGCCAAATCTATTACAAATAATTATATTGCTGTTTTAATGGAAGATGAATCTTTTTTTTCACATGTCAATCAGTTTATTTTATATAAAAGCTAATAAAAGAATGTATAAATCTTTTAGAGGCAAATGAAGCTAATTTATCTGATTGCTTCATCCATCTTATTAAATTGGCCTATGCAATACATCAATTATCAAACACAAATACTTTTAAATCTTTTGCCATTAATATTTTTAATTACCAATTTGATGAATTTTTATATTCTCTTTATATTTTAGCTTATTATCTTCATCCATATTATCGAGGTATTTAAATATTATAATAATATTAAATAAAATACATTAATAGTATTATAATTAATCATTTTCTTTTATACAGGTAAAGGTTTAAAAAGTGATGCGTTTTATAAGGCTACTTTAGCTACAACTGAAATATAACAAAGTTTTAGTCATACTCGTAAAAAAAGTAAAGAATTAATAGCTCAACTTCATAGATTTGAATCAAGAATGGCTCCTTTTGAACTTTCTTATGTTTCTAGTCTTGAATCTCCTAAATTGTGATAGAGATCAATTAAAATAAATCTATGATATTTACCTAAACTTGCCTGTCAAATTTTTTCTATCAATCTAACTCAAGCAAATTGTAAAAGAAATTTCTCAATTTTTAATTGAATTTTGGGTGAAAATTGGACTAATTTGACTTTACATAAACTTGAAACTATATCTAAAATTTGATCTTATTATATGAATAATATCCAAAGAGAATTGAGTTATGTTAATAAAGATCTTACTGAAAGTAAGTTGAGAGAAAGTGTTAATATTGCTTCAGTTAGTAGCATTATTGTTTTAGAAGTTAAAGATGAAATAGTAAATATTAGTAGCGATAATTTAGGTTCAAGATTTTTTTCAAGCACTGAGTTAGATATTGATAATATTGTTGATTTAAAAATTAATATTAATGATATTAATGAGAAAAAGGAATCTGATATTACTTCAACATAAATACAACCTTCAGATCCGGCTGATTTGATTTATGATCTTAGTGATATATTAAATAGATTTTTGGAATATAAAAGATATTGAAAAAAACAATACATCTTAATTATGTTCTAATATTACATAATTAACTAGAATAACAATTTTATTTTTTTTACCATTTATCATAATACAATAAATAATAACATTTGTAATATGGTAGTTTTATATAATAAAATAATACAATAACATTTTATTTGTTTATATTATAATTTGTTAGTTTATAATACAACAGATATATTATTTTTAACTATAAATGTTTTTAATTTTGATATTTAACTAAATAAAATTACAATATAAATAAATTATAATACACTTTACTATAAATCAAAGTCACATTTCTGATTTGTCAATCATTTAGATCCAGAAATTTAATGGAATTCCATGACAATCTATATCTAAGTTAAGTTTAAATGATTGATAAATCATTTCAATTTTACGGTAAAGTAAAGAATCTGCATATTTAATCAATATGTATTAACAAGTATAATGTATATAATATATATAATATGTCAATACCTATTATACTTACTACCTCATACATCTGCTACTACCTTACTACCTCATATACCTGTTACTACCTTACTACCTCATATATATATATGGCAAAAATGTTTAAAAGGTAATATTTATCAATGACATTGACTTAATGACATAGTAGGTAGTTACCTTAAGAAATGTCTGCAACTCTAACTGTTACTATTGCTTCTGGTATTAAACTTGGTCAACTTTTATATCTGTTTAGAACTGCTTATACAACAGTTGAATACTTAAAATAAACGGCAGTTTTTGATCAACTCATGCAAGATGATATGTTAGTTAAGCAATTCTCCACTAGAATTAAAAAGATTGGTAAATTAGCTGAAATGACTTCTGAACAGCAAAGAGAGCAATTTATTTGTGGTCTGTCTCTGATGAATCAATATAATCTTTGAATGATAACCAAATTTTATGATATACAAGATAGTATTACAAAAGCTCTAGCTGAAGCGGAAAGATTTACATTATCTCAAAAGAGTGCATCATCTTCTTTTCCAATTTTTTAGCGGCCAATTCATATACAGATACTAACAGATCAGGGATAACTAAAAATGAAATTGAAAGATTGGTAAAAAATACAATAGCATTCTCAGAACCTCAACGATCCTAACAAGTAGCTTTATCGCAATTCTAACCACAACTTGCAAGAACGCATAAAAATTTATGAGATAAAAATATAGGTAGATTTTTATCATGGATTATAGGAGAAACCCTAGAATTTGTTCCTGTTTCTAATCTTACTTTGCCACTAAAGCCAAAGAAAAAGGTTAAAGTTGATTCTGACGATGAACTTGCTGAACTCATAAAAAAGTAGTTAAACTTACATTTGGCTAAAATGATTAAAAAAGCTGTGAAGATACAACATAAATGTTTTGTCTATGGTAAGACTAGACATAATTTTTGCAAATGCTCTTGAAAGAAGAAAAAGAAAAATAAGAAATCTAAAAAAGGTAAGGTTAATCTCACTTTAGATCTAGGTTCAGATTCAAATTCAGATTCTTTCTCAAACAATACCTCATTTAATGATAGTTCTGATTCTGATACTTCTGATTCTGAAAGTGAGCTTAATATTAATATGATTAAGATAAAAAAAAGTAAAGCAGAAGTCTAGCTTTAAGAAATTGTCCTCAAAGAAGCAGTCTAAGAAAAAATCTAAGTCACATAAATCTATTAAGTAAACTGACAAGACAGATATTAGGAAGCATGTAGTTAACTCTGATAAGGCTAAACAAAGCAGACACAGTAAACAAAGCACTTTAGAGAATACAATCCGTAAGATTATTCAAAGTGAACTTAAATTAATTTTTCTCGCACTTATTACCTAAGATTCTAAAGCTAATATACTAAAATAAGTACTTCCTATTCAAGAAAAGATAGAGTTTCAGAGTAATAAAACTCTAATTACCAAAGATATATTACCAAACTTAGAGGAAAAAGAATATTTAAATGATCCAATAGAGATTGATTTTATTTAGAAAAAGGAGCTGAAAATAAGTGTTGCAACTGTAGAGTATAAAATCAAGCATTTAAAGATCTCTGCTATAACTTTTGATTCTGAAGTAGAGCCTCCTATTATAACAGAAAATATTGTTAAGTGTGTAAAGGTTGAAATTGACAAATCTGAAACACATAATCTCAATGGTATTGCTACAGTTCTGATTGAATCTATTAGAGTTGTTCGTAATTTACCAATTACTCTTACCTCAGGATGTATTATCTATGAAGATTTTGTTATTGTGAGATATCACAAGCCTACGCTAATATTTTTCAATTAACTTTTAAAAGTACAAATGCATAATAGATTAGGATATCAATGAACTAAAGATTCCCCTTAATGGAAAAAATTATATCTTCTCAGTTACTATACATAAGGTAAGAACAAGTTCAAGGTAAATTACGCGAATATTACTTCTGAATGTGATGATCTGTCAACTCTGAATAAGATTTTTCAGAACTCACAGGACTTAAGTAAGGATAATAATACATTAAAAAAAAGTAAGGTATGAAGAGCTCAAAAAAATGTTTTACATTTCTCTTAAGTCTAAAGTGGAACTTAATGACGCATATAAAAGATTGCAGATTTATTATAATGAGCTATTAGATAGTAATCAATAAGCAAGCTGTCTCTGCTTTACTTTTTTCATCTTCCTTAGCACCCTTTCATAAAATGCTTTTAATTCCTCCCCACGTAATCCTTTATCTTAAGTGCCTTCGGTTAAGTTTCTTAGGATTGGCTTAGTCTGAATGGATCTTAAGAGAATAATATTAGACGATTCAGAAATATGAACAGACTTGGCTTTTGGATCCCTCCAGTCTTTTTTACCTTATTTTTAAGAATAATGATACTCAAGGACTTGTAGGATCTGTCTTTTTTTCATGAAACAAATCAGTATTTGTTAATACCATTTTATCTGAAAATAGGTCTGTTGGTGGATATGATACCATCTCTTTAGGGGATGAACTCCTCTTTATATTTGGTATATCCACTAAGATGATATTTTATATTTGTTTGCCATAACTTCTGATGCTTGCTTCATTGAATTTTTAGCACTAATAATGTTCTGAATATCTTTTTCTGATAAGTGGATCGCATCTGAGCATAAGTAGCGATTCATTTTTTCTTATAGTTAGAAAAAATCTATCGATAAATATTCGATATATATTTGATATATATATTCAGTACACATTGAATATACATTCAGTGCATCTGATATATATCCAGTATGTTCAGTACATTTGATGTATTCAGTACATTCAGAACATTCAGTATGTTCAGTGTGTTTAAAATATATCTGATATACATCTGATACATATGGTGCATTCAGTATATCTGATACATTCAGTAGATTCAACATATATTCGATTCAGAAATTTCAGTTATATTTTTTTCTATTATAGTAGCAGTTAAGTCAAAAAAAATGGCCATGAATAATGTATACACCTTGAGAGATGTCAATAAAAAAAGTGATACCCTAACTATAACTGGACATCGGCTTGGTACTGCATATGAGTATAAGCTTGAAGAGAAGTTATATTCTGCTCTCAGCTCTAAAGCTGAACTTAGAGATCTCAATGAAAAGTTGATAAATAAGTACAATGAGCAGAAGAAGGAGTATCAGTAAAACTATAGTAATATTGGAAATAAGATTAGCCAGTTAAATGCATCTAGTGCTAAAGTTAGATCTCAACTTATTTCTGAACAGAAATCCCATTCTGAGAGTCAACGTGAGCTTAAAGCTAAATATACTACTAAAATCAAATCGCTCAAATCAAATATTAAAATACTAAAGAGAGAGACAACTTTGACACAGAAAGATTCATCCTTTGATAAGGTCAAGATCCTTTCTCTTGAAGCTAAGATAGTTGAATTAGAAGGTAAATTGCTAGATTTAAAACTAGAACATAATTCGAATATAGTAGGAGAACTACTAGAGAAGCTAGCCCAAATAAGCTCATCTGAAATAGAATCCCTTAGGCTTGAACTGGAGCAAGTGAATGAGGATCTTAATTCAAAAAAACATGAAATAGAATGTATGGAAAAAGGGATAGAATCATCAAATAACATATACAATCAGATGATAGATTCTTTATTTTCAGCATGATCAAATTTACTCAAAAAAATACTTATCTTCAAGAATTACTATCAAAAAAAGAGCTGAGAGGCATTTCGCATAATAAATTAGATACTCCACCCCCACTTATGAATAATTCGTCACAACCTTCCGCTCTTAATTTTTCTACATTTTAGACAATTTCTGTAGGTAGCACAAAAGCAGTTTTAGCTATCTCTATTATTGCGAACTTCTTAATGTTACTGATATTAATATATATTATGCTTATCTTACTACTTATTGCAATTATATGGCTTATCGGAAAAAAAATATGAGATTCATGAAGTAATAAGTTGAAAGAAAAAAGTAATACCCTTCTAACCAAAATTATTTTTTATCATCTCTAGGTATTTCTAATGCTGGAATATTTGATCTGAGGCTGGAAGATCAAATATAGAAATTGAAGTTAGTCAGTATTGTCGCATGAGAAAAAAATATAAATAATATTATACAAAGTATCTTATAACTACGTTTCTTAACTGAAATTGTCACATCCCTACTAAGAGAATCTAGAGAGTCTATCGTAAGCTTTATATATATTTTTCAAGGTAGTTTTTTGCTTTTTTCTGAGAATAGATATCAATCTGTTGTTCCCTTTTATCTGAATTCTTGATCTGCATTATTCTATCTGATAGAAGCAGTTGATAGCTATTATCCTTATTGATAAAACATACGTACATTACTGTTATTGATCCTAAATAATAATTGATATTTATTTTCATGTTTTACTTTTTTGTGATGTCTGTATACTCCATATAATCCCTAACTCTATATGGCTCCTTTCTACTCCTTTATTATAAAGAAGTAGACTTTTTA